TCCCTCGTGCTCTCCATTCCACCATCGGTGGGAGTGCCTTCAGCCACTAACCCCCAAAACTCTGGAACTCTCTCCCTTAATGCTTCCACCTTGTCCCCCCTCTCCCCATCGTCAAATCATGCCTAAAGACCTACCTTTTTGATCGTGCTAATGGTCACCTCCCTCTGCCCTTGGCTCATTGTCAGACTCCGCCACTGTGAAGCTCTCCGGAATGCTACCCCTCATAAAAGGCACTATATAAATGCAAGTTGTTGTTGTTATACCGCAGCAAGTGCTAAAGCCGTAGTGAAATCCTGTACTTTTTTTTGCAATGTTAAAGAAATTGGGAACATAGGATTAGGAGAACGCCATTCAGCCTTTCGAGCCTGTTCCGCCATTTAATTGGATCATGGCTGATCTGTACCTCAACTAATCCTTTCACTTCCAATTTCCCACTTTCTCCCCATATCCCTTAATACCGTGACCTACCAAAAATTCATGCTATCAGTGTAAAAACCTTCAGTAGTATTCACTTTACAGTATATTCTGTGAAGCGCTTTGAGACGTCTCGAAGACGTGATAAGGCACTTTATCAAATGCAAGGATATTATTAGTAATATTATTATTATAATGACTGTTATTAATAGGTGAGCTACGAACAAAATTATTTTGCTCTGTAGAATTGTTATTTTATATTGTTTTAAGACCACTATGATTTATGACTGGAAAATGTTAGCAAGGAAGAATGCTACAGGCATTCTAACATGGCACTTTGGAAAACAAATACAATGGGCAACATGTTCCTTTAATAATAATAATAATAATAATAATCCTTGCATTTGATATAGCGCTTTTCACGTCGGGAGGACGTCCCAAAGCGTTTCACAGAACACACTGTAAAGTGAATTGACTGTATATTTGTGGGCGAACGCAGAAGCCAATTGCGCACAGCAATGTCCCACAAACAGTCGTAGATTGAAAATGACCAATTTTTTTTTTTTAGTTTTGGAGGGATTATTATTAGGCGTGTGGAGTAAGGAAACTTGCCCAAGGTTTCGCCCTGTCTGGAATTGAACTCGGGTCTCTCGCTTGCAAAGCAAGTGCTCTAACCACTGAGCTACAGAACTCCACAAACTTTAACTAAAACCTTCTTTAATTACGGCTAATTCAACTCTTGGCCATAAATGTCTGTTATAGGCAAACGTCAGTCTGTATGCTAATGTTACACCATTCTTATCCGATGGTCCTTTTCCCGTACACCATTTTGTACAAGGAGTTACATCCCACACTGTTTACTGGTCTTGGGAAGGGATGGGCCTGGAGAAGTCACACCTAACAGGTTTGGCTATTGTTGATAAGAAAGGTACACGATTCAGGAAATGATAACATATTGCACTGTAGAGCAGCAGTCCAGAATTGTCAGGCCTTGACAATCTAGGGAGAGGTTCCTCTTTCTTCAAACTTGCAACATCTCTAAAGAGCAATTTTTTAAGAAAAGCTGTTTTGCAACAACACTAGGGCATCTGCTTACAGACAACACCAGCTGTTCAAAATGTCAATGCTCACATTGATTGTTATAAGCATACCAGTATCTCCATTGTTAAAATGTTTGTTGTAATTTATCGGGGAATGTTTATATCTGTCTCTGTTTCTATAACCATAAGATCCAAGTTTTTGACTGTGTCTATAGTCATATCCCCATCCTTCCTTGATCAGCATCCAGATCCACCACTTGTGTCTCACTCTGAGACACTATGCTGCACGAAGGGCACTATACAAATTCAAGTTGTTGTTGTAACATCTTCATTTGGCATTGCGTTACAGTAATGATGAAATGTAAGAAGGATTTTATAAAGATTAGTTACTATGAATATCTCCACATTTGTAACATTTGTACCCTGGATTTTTGACCCTTTTGTCTTAGTTCCTAACTGATAAACTCAATAAGTCATCAGGGAAACCACATTTGTGCATTTCATTCAGTCTAAAAGATATTGCACTATAACTCACTGATATTTATTTATACACTTTATTTGGATCTGCTTCTTTCAGATACGCTTGAATTTTATTTTGTTAGTGTAACAGAAATTGAGGTTTATTGTGAATTTTGTGTTTGTTATAAAATTGGTGTCTTTTATTCATATTTGTGTTTTCCATTTCTCATCTCAATAAAGACAGTGGAGTCGAATATTTAAAGGATTCCTCAATTACGTAAAGTGAGGATTCATCAACCCATGGGAATATTGTCCGGCATTATCTGCTTTCAGAGCAGAGTTCCCACTGGTTGACACATTGTCAGAAGGAATTATCCCGTTACCAGAAGAAGTTCTTAATCCAGTTAGAAATTGTTGCGTATATTAGACCCCAATTACCACTTACCTCAATCCTTTTGCTCATTGTCATTTGAACTAATATGATACAGTGTCACATCACTTTAAAGTGCATCCTGTAAAGCGCTTTGAGATGTCTCAATGAGGTCCTATATCAAATGCAAGGATTACTATAGAGCAGCTTTGTAAAATGTCTCTGAAGTTTTGACAGTAAAATAAATAACAAGAGTTCAGCAGCAGAATAGGGTTATGAATGCAAACTACACACAAAACATAAATTATAAGACTCTGACTTTCAAATTAATATTTTGAGACTATTTGTTGAAAACATCAAGAGATATTGAATGGAAATTCATGCATCTGAAATCTGTGAATTCATGTAAAGAAATAAAGTTTACTGAATAGAATTTTCTCCACAAAACACAGTTTAGGAGATCAAACAAAATAGGACAATTTGTCAGTGCATTGCTGATAATATAGTGTGTTATAGTGTGTTGAGCGATTGTAAGTAAAAAGCTCATGTCTGTGCTGATATGTTCAGGCAGCAGTTCACAAATGTCTGCATTGCCAAACAAGCTCTAATGCGATGGTTTATGTCTGAAAATCAACATTGAGGATCCCCCAGTGATAAGATACTTTTAATAATAATCCTTGCGTTTGATATAACTCCTATAATGTCAAACCCTTTCGCCCACAAAATGTAGTCAATTCGCTTTACAGTATATTCTGTGAAGTGCTTTGAGATGACTCAAAAACGTGATAAGACGCTATATCAAATGCAAGGATTATTGTTATTAAAACACCTCAAAGCATACACATGGAATTGTTAAGTGTAGCGATGATTTATTTGTAGGCAGACATTGTAGTTAATTTGTGTACAGCAATGCCCTACAAATGGCAAATGAAGTGAATGACCAATTTATTGTTGCCCGGGACACTGGGAGAATAAAACCAATGAGATCTTTCACATTAATCAGGTACTTTAACAAACTTGTGGCTGTGGGTTCAAGCCCCATGTCAGGATTTTGAATTCATAGTCTAGGCTGAAACTATGCATTGTTGGAGGTAACGTTCTTCAGATGAGGCATTAAACCGAGTCCCATCTGTCTGTGGATTTAAAAGAAGGGAATGTCTCTGCTGTTCTAACCAACAATCCAGAGTAGGTAGGGTAGTCCTAGCTGGACGACCAATGGTAAAACTTGTCATCAATGACAAACTTAGAGGTTTTAGCTGGTTCAGTCTGTTTCCAGTTCTTGATCCATATCATTAGAACTGGCTGCAAGACATTTGGGAGCCGCTTGAGGATTACTCCTTTGAGTTTTCCCTCACTCTGACACAGCTAAGAACAGGGAATAACCAGGGATTCTTGACCTGTGTGACCCTCTGGACTAAACAGTGTATGCCACTAATAAGCTACCCTTGTTTAAGTTAATTTTCTCCCCATATTTTCTCCAGTGAAGCATGGCACTAATTGAAAAAAGATGGGAGTTTCTCATGCTTTCCTGGCCAACAATCCCCAGATAAAATTAGTTGATCCCTTCATGGCTGATAATGGGCCATTGCTATGATGAACATTCCTTATCAACCTACAAATACAGTCACTACACTTGTAGTAATACTGTGAAGCTCTTTAAGACAACTCGATCAGTGATGAGGTGCTTTATATCAAATGGAATAGAGCACTCCAGCAGTACTCCAACGCACACTCTGGGGTCCTCAAGCCTTGGCTCTTGCCAATCTGCGCCTAATACTTTCGAGGATTCGATAAGCAGGATCCGTCCGTCCAGGGAATGTGCGCATTCCATTCCAACAATCAATCTCTGGGAATTCCATGTGTACTTGGGATGCATGGAATTCTTAATTTAGTTTGGATACATAGTGATGGGCATCTCCCTGTCAAGACACTTCGCTGATCCCCATAAAACAGTCCATAGATAAAACTGGTCATACACTTCATAGCTGTTTGTGGGACATTGCTGTGCGCAAATTGGCTGCTGACATCCGTCTACAAATAGAGTCATTACACCTTGTAGAGCGACCAGATGCCCCAATTTCCCGGGACAGTCTCCAGATGAGGTAATAATAATAGTAACAATAGTTGCATTTTGATATAGCGCCTTATCACGTCTTCGAGACATCTCGGAAGCGCTTCACAGAATACACTGTAATAATAATAATAATATATTATTATTATTACACTGTAGGGTGCATTGACTGCATATTTTGTGGGCGAAACGGTCCTCGGCCAAGCAAACCAGATATTGTGCCCGGCCACCTCTGCGCTGTCTTGAGTTCATCGACAAGCTGAGCAACAACAACAACAACATCGCAGATCAGAGAACACTCATCAGAGAAATGCAGCCATTAATCCAGCAACCCTCCCCAGCACTGCCAGCATCGGGAATTGTGGCGAGTTCAATTACAGCGCATGTGTACCCGGATTTGGTTGTGCAAAATGCGGGATGCGCTGGGAGAAGGGGAGAGGGGGAGAGGGGATAGTGTTTGGAGGCAACGGGGGGTGTGTTGGGAGTTGAAGGAGAAACAGGCGGGGCTGGAGGCGGACCCTCTTGTCCGTGTGCGACTCTTGTTGGCGGCCGCTGTTGCCGTGGTGACGGTGCGGGTGTGGGAGGAGCCGGAGTGAAGCGGGGCCCGGGCGGGGCGGGGCGGGCGGGGCAGTGTCTGTGTGTGTGTGTGTGTGAGAGAGAGAGAGAGTGGAGTCAGGGACAGGGGGAGAGGGCAGACAACACGAGCAAACCAACCAGGGGGGAGCCGAGCCGAGGCCAGAAGCGGCAGCAAGTGCGAACAAGATGGCGGTGAAGACCCGGAGCGCCACCAAGGGCAGTCGGCTGGCGCGTGAGGAGCGCGGGGAGTGCGGCGCCAGGGCCCTCAGGAGCTCCCGGAAATCAGACAGCCCCAAGCGGGACAAGAGGCGGGACTGCTCGCCGCAGAGGACCAGAACCGTCTGCCCCGCTGCCTCGGGCAAGTGGGTGACCAGCATCCGCTGCCACCTCGGCCTGTCGGACACGGCGCTCACCAGGCTGAGCACCACCTTCCTGCTGGGTGAGAGCGGCGCGGAGCCCGGGGCCGGGCCAGCGGCTGCGGGCAGTGCAAACGTGTGAGAGATAGAGAGAGTGGGGGGTGTTCACTGAATCACTGCATCGCTTCCCACCTCACTCCCCCCCCCCCTCACCCCCCCCCAAAAAAAAGCGATAAACTTATAATAAGTAATAAGTAATCTGATCATTAATAATCTTACAATAACAGTGAGTAACAATAATACTTATAAACCGTACCAGTAATCCTGGCATTTGATGTACAGCTTTCTGTCGTCAACACAACTCAAAACATACAGATAAACTGATAACAAATAATATCTGATAGCAATTAATCTGATACAACAGTAAGAGTACATTTGCCTTTCACGTCGGGAGGATGTCCCAAGGCGCTGGATATATATTTACTTAATCTGATAACGTTATGATGTGATAACAAATTATGTTATCTACTAAACTAATTATATTTTACGATCTGGTAAGTTGTTTTATGATCTGATAACAAATGGTGTGATAAGTAATATAATAAATAATCCGATATTTAATTACATAAATCATTTTATTATGATACATAATCCAGTAACACTGCATTTGGTAATATACTTGGAATGCTGAAATGTCTCAAAGCGTTTCTTGGTAATTTCTTAGCTGTGACAGAGACTGTCGACCAGGACACAAGGAGAAACTCCGTTCTTTATTTTAAATTGATATGCAATCTTTAACCTTCCCTGGAACAGGCAGAAAATAATAATAATAATTAAAAATAATACTAATAATCCTTGCATTTGATATAGTGCTTTTCACATCTTCTAGACGTCTCAAAAGCGTGTCACAGAATATCTGTAAAGTGAATTGACTGTATATTTGCGCAGAGCAGTGTCCCACAAACAGTCGTGGATTGAAAATGACTAATTTATTATTGTTTATTATTAAATTATTATTGAAAAGACTTTGGTTTAATGTCTCATCTGGCACATTTGGCAATGCGACAGTGGAGTGACAGCCTAGACTTTAAGGTCAAAGTCCTGATATGGGTTTTAAATGCTCAACCTAATGAATGAATGAATGAATGAATGAAACTTGACAGATATGAATGGGTTACGCGTGCATGCACGAGAGAGGAATGGACCTCATGCACAAGGGATAGGGCAAGTGGTATGAAGAAGATGGGGGAGCATTCACAAGAGAAGGATTTTGTTGGCAAATGTGTAATTAAGTGTTGATATCCAGCTCACTGTAGTGTAAATGGGGGTTTAGAGATCTTTATAGTTCTGCCTAGCATGAACTTTGACACGCTGGTTGTTATAGTACTCGTGTATGAGAAATGTAGTCATGTAACAGCATAGAAATTACAGCAACTCATCAAACCTATTAAAGTCTGCTCATCCACTCTTAACTAATTACTCTAATCCCAATTCCTTGCTCTTTCCCTGTAGCCTTATAATAACATTATTCCAATTCAAGTGTGTATCCATTGCCTTTTAAATGTTTTGCTATCTATTTTCTGAAAATCTTTCAGAATTTGAAGACTTTGGTTAGATGCCCTTAAATATTTTTGTTCTAGTAAGAATGGACCCTTTTTTCTTATCATAGCCACATAACTATATAAGATTTCATCTGTGCAAACTTATATTACACCCTTTCCTTGGCTCCAATGTCCTTTTTGTAATGAGGTACATAGATATTATATATGTTGTATTGCAACTGACCCCCAACAAATGTGAATAGATTCCGCTTACAGGATTGGTCTTTAAGGTTAGATCTAGGGTAACAAAGAAAGATAAATGGTATGATGTAATTTTTAAATATTGAGCACTAGAAGATGAAAACATGTTGCTAAATTAAAGAATTTAAAGAACTTAAATGTTGAGTTTTAAACTATTTTATTTATCCTGCTTCTTTTTCAGCTTTCGTAGTAGGAATTTTACACTGGTAAGTATTAACTGCTTCCCTGTTTTCTAAATGTGCATATGTTTGTCTGAGTGACAAAGGGGAGCTTAATCACATCAAACAGGTAGTTTACAAGGCTAGAGATTGGTATTTTGCTAAGCCTAATGTGGAAATGGATCGTGATATAGCTAGTACTACCTCACTTAGTGCTATCTGCATTACACTGAAACATCCCACTCATTCCGCAAGTAAATTTGATTTAAATTATCCAATTTAGGATAATCATATTATATCTTTCATGTTGCATTCAACAGTTACAGGTTTGCAAGCATTCGTGAGGATTTATTCGGAGTGAAACTTACTATGGTCAACAGAAGGATAAACTGCAATCTGTTTTGAAATACTATTAACAATAACATATCAAACTGAGTGAATGTTACTTCAGGTGACAGGCTTCCAGTTCAAATTCAAGTCTGAATATGCTCCAGTGTTTAGGAATAGGCTGTTAAATTCTGAGGTTTTTGTATTTGTTTGACTAAACCATAAATGACTGATAAATGATGTAGTTAAAATGGACCAAGAAAAGTTTTTATTGTTACGTTTATTTGTTTTTTTAAATAACATTTTCTCTTCCTTTTTTGATTTTTTAAAAATTTTTACTTTATTTCCGTATAGTCCTATTCAACTAAGGGTAGTTAATGGCATTAACTTTTCTAAGCCTTCCACCAGTATGGCAAAGGAGATGAGACCATAATGGCTCCCCTTTCCTCTCAGTGGCAAGCCCCTCTGATGCCATCAGACAGAATACCTGTGCACTTGCTGGAAGCAAACTTTTATTGACTTATTAACGAATAGTGAGTTTAGGCCACCAGCCATCATCTCTTGTTACTGCCCTGCACATTGTTGCCAAGTGATTTGTGGTATCCAAGGCAACATTTGAAGTCAGTTCAACTTATTCTGCCATAAATTTGCGTGTTCAATAATTAGTTTATTGTGAACATTGTTTATTTCACTTGAGATTTTGCAGACTTGAAGGATTTAGTTTTGTAAGATGGCCAAGTGACAAACTGTTTCAATCCATTACAAGTAAGCTGCTGTAATGTAAACTGTGTCCATAGAGACAATTGGCAGCCAAATAGGTTTTGATATTTTGAAAAAAAGAATACTATCAGAACATGTATAAAACAATTTGCATTTATGTAGCACACTTCATGCGGGTAACATCTTGCAGTGCTTAACAGCGGCATGGCTTGATGCCTAACAGGAGAATGTGCACATTGTAATGTGCATATTGAAATGTTAATAACTAATAATGGATTTTTTAATAACAAATTCTAGCTGAACCTGGTTGTGGAAAATATCAAGGTATTGAATAAAGTACCACATTGGTACTTGACCTCAATTGTCTAAGTTCACACTCCAATGCAGTTCTGGAGGGTTGTTACAGAGTCGAAGGTGCCATCCTTCAGTCAAGACCTCAGTTAAAACCTAGGTCTCGACTGTATTCAGGTGGATGATAAAGGGATTTGATAGGGTAGATGCAGAAAAGCTATTTCCTATGTTGGGGGAATGCAAAACAAGGGGGCATAGTCTTAAAATTAGAATCAGACCATTTAAGAGTGAAATTAGGAAGCATTTTTTCACTCAAAAGGGTGGTAGAAATCTGGAACTCTCTCCCCTATGTTGGATCCATCCACACCTTCAAGAAAGAGATTGAGAGATTTTTGGTAGGTCGGGATATTAAGGGATACAGGGAGAAAGCGGGAAATTGGATTTGAAATTCTAGTAAAGATATAGATCAGCCATGATCTAATTAAATGGCGGATCAGGCTCGACGGGCTGATTGGCCTACTCCTGTTCCCATGTTCCTATGTTCCTAGTATTGTGCTCAAAATTGCCTGCTGTGTGACAGACCTTATCTTTGCTTTGCTATCAGTGGAAAATGTGGAAGGTGATTTTAGGCATTGGCACATCATTTTACAGAACATTTAAATGATAATGCTATTTTTTTCTTTTGGGCCATTAGCAGTGGCAGAGTTTCTTTATTTGTCTGTAATCAATAGCAACCATTTTATAAACCTTTTTATTGTAAAATAAATGATCATTTAAAAAGCTTGTTCTTTTAATTTAGTAATAGTGATTTTAATTTAATTCTAATTTATATTAGGTACCATATATCTAGTCTTTTTGAAAACGATCGACATTTCTCTCACCTCTCAACACTGGAAAGAGAAATGGCTTTTCGCACTGAAATGGTAAGACTTTTGTTTGTATTCGATTTCAGCTTTATTAAAATAATGCTCACAAAAATATACAGTCCATTCACTTTACATAGTGCTTTGAAGCATTATTATTTAACCAATTGTGGCATATGAAGTAAATAACGTGGATGGGATGCTAAGCTAGAGGTGAGGTATTGTGGATCTGTAAACAGTGTGTGAATTCACGAAAACTATACAGTTTTAGTTGACAGTTTTTCATTTATTGTAATTTTTCTGTATATTATGTCTGAATGAATTTCTGTGTTGCTGCTTTTTTCAAGAAATTAATACTGTTATGATTTGAATGGATGATCACAATTGAATTGTGCCATGGAGTTATAATTTAAAAAAGTAGATTATTGAAAGCTTTAGCTACAATTTAATCATATCCAGCTAAAAGTCTTGACAAACACTAATCTGTGATTCTGTATTACACTCCAGCAATCTGCAGCATTCAGACCATCAAATCCTTTCACAATCTTGCTCCTTCCATTCTTCACAATCTCCTCCAATCCTATTTTCCTGCCTTTGACCTCCATTCTTCTAACCCTGAGCTGCAACTTGTTCCTTAACACCCTACATCCAACTAAGTCTTTTATGAAGAATCTCTGAATAGATGGAGAATAATATACTCCATATGGCTGATAATGACCAGATGGATTTGGCATGATGTGTGGAACCAGCAAACAGGCTAATGAATAGATCTGCTTTGCAGAAATTATATAGGGTGATAAAATGGAGCCCAGATAGATTTATATGATAACATTGTGAAAGATTATGTACAGGATGTCTTTATGAGCTCTGCTTTGCAAAAGTCTGGACAGCTAATATGAAAAAAACTGGAAATGTTTCATCTTGAAAGAAACAACATTTTAACAAAATGTTAACAAAAGTTATTGAGCTTCTGTAGGAAAGAAAAAATGTAAAGCTAATTGGGAGGGCAGTCACGTATTGTCAAAAATATAGTTGGGTTGCAAAGGCAAATCAAGCTTGAGAAAAGGCCATTGTAGATTTTTTGTGTATAGATAAGCTAGTTGAGAGGATCAAAGTAAGCTTTTTACTTAAGTCACCTGAAAAATTCATCACTATTTAATGATTGATTTTAAAACCTCTAAGTTTGCCTGTTTAATAGGTTCTTATTTCCCTGCATTTGTGATATAATATTTCTAATCAAAATAAATGTTTTGTTTTTAGGGCTTGTATTACTCTTTCTTTAAGATTATCATTGAGGCACCTTCATTCACTGAAGGCTTACGCAAGATAATGAATGATCGGCTGACTGAATATCCTCTGGTTATCAATACCCTGAAACGGTTCAATCTTTATCCAGAGGTTGGTAATGTGCTAGAAATGTTTCTGCTTCATTGACATCTGTTTTCAAACCTCAAGTAAACAAAACAACCTTATTACCTCACGGTTTTAAGTTATCAAGAGTTCTTGGCTGTTTATCAGGATTAGCATTGAAGTAGATCTTATAGAGGAGAGGAGTTGCAAAGTGATGTTCGATATTACAGAAGTACAGGAGATAAAGGACTCTTTGTGGGAAATAATACTGACTAATTGTACATAAGGAATACATCAAGTATCTCTAATAATTTGAACTACCTGATTCAAACATGTTTACTATTGTTTCTTTTTATTTATTCAATACAACCACAACAACAAAATTACATTTGCATAGTGCCTTTCATGTTGGGAGGACGTTCCAAGGCGCTGGTAAAAAGTTCTCTATTAAATGTTTGGCAGTACAAAGTTGCAGGCACGTTGCCAACCAATTGTATATTTTTTTTCTTGCCAATTTTCTCTTCTAGTTTTCTTTTCCTTTTCCTTTCTATTAGGGTACCATTTGACAGGCACTTATTAGCTGGCAGTAACTTGTCCACATGGCCATTCTACATATGGGAACCTTGTCACTGAATGTTGGCAGCCTATTTGACCACTTGATTTTCGAAAGCCTTTCCCAACATCCCAAAACATGGACCCCCAGAAGGGTTTGCTGGATAGTGATCTCAAGAGTAGCATTTACCACAATTTGCTAACCAATTGTAGCAATTTTCGTGCTATTCCAAGTCATATTGACTAACAAATTGAAAATTAAATCTGAGGATGATCCAGGGTTAACTATTAGACTCAGCTGTCACTGAATAGACCAGCTGAGTTTTTGTAAGGATCCATAGTATTAGGGAGCCATTGATTCATAATTTAGATAATGGAAAAGAATTACCCTATATAAAAAAAGGATGTCATGTTTGCGATTCTAAACAGAGATGTACAATCTCACTCATCAGATTTGGATGTACTGAACATTATATAAGAAATCCATGTAAAATCTGCTTGTCAGAAGTTAATTCTGTACAGCTGCAGAACAAGAAATAGCCGGGGGGGTCGGTAGGGGGTCAGGAGGGGACGGGGGGGTTGGCAGGGGGTTAGGAGGGGGCGGGAGTGTTGGTAGGGGTTTAGGAGGGGGCGGGGTTGGTGGTAGTGGGTTACGAGTGGGCGGGGTCGGTGTTGGTAGTGGGTTAGGGTGGGGTGGGGGGTTGGTAGGGGTTTAGGAGGGAGCGGGTTTAGAGGGGGTGGGGCGGGGGGGCGGTTGGTAGTGGGTTACGAAGGAGGGGGCGGGGGTTGTTGGGAGGGGCTTAGTAGGGGGCGGGTGGTTGGTAGAGGGTTAGCAGGGCGCAGGGGTGTTGTTTGGGGTTCAGGAGGGGGCGGGTGGTTTGGTAGGGGGTTAGGAGAGAGTGCGGGGGTTTGGGAGGGGGTCAGGAGAGGGCGGGATCTGTTGGGAGGGGGTTTAGGAGGGGGCGGGGTGGTTGGTAGTGGGTTAGGATGGGGGAGTGAGGAGGTCAGAGATGTAGGGAGGTGCCAGGGAGTGAAGGGATTTGAACACGAGTGTGAGGATCATGAAGTTGAAATCCCCAGTGCTGTACTGAAGTGTCATTTTGGAATATAAATTCAAATTCCAATATGGCAGCTTGAATCCACAACATCTGACCCGGAGGCAACAGAATTAACAGCTAAATGCGACTCTTAACAAGCTTTCTCAGCAGTCAATATAGTTTCAGAGTAGGATCCTCCATGAACTGAGACTCACCAAAAACTCTTCAGAACATAACACGCCCTAGAAGATATTCCTCTTATTGGCATTTAAGCTAGCAAAAGTTGAAAAAACAAGTTTGTAAGGGAAGGAAATAGTAACTAACACAAGTGTTTTTAACCTCGTTATCCAGAACTTTCCTATTTAGCAAAAATATAAATGATGAGTTTTCTTTATAAGGTAGAAAATACAAATTGTAACAATAACTTGAATGCTGAATGGAAGTTTGTTCTCAGGTTTGGGAAGAATTACACATATAGTGCCTCAGATGCATGTAGGAATATACTTGAGTTAATACTTTCCCTATCTGAGATACTCCATAAAAAGAAACCTGAAAACAACTTTGAATTGAGGGAGCAATATGTAAAATTTTGAAATGAGGATTGAGTTTATCTGTGCAGACTGTTGATCATCCAGAACTCTGCGGCCCGTGACCTTTCCTGCACCAGGTTCCGCGACCCTATCACCCCCATCCTCACCCAGCCCCACTGATTCCCCATCACATGGAGAATACAGTTCAAGATCCTGGTCCTCACCTTCAAAGCTCTTCACGGCCTTTCTCCCACTTACCTCTGTGACCTCCTAACTTCCTTCGCTCAGCGGGCTCCGGGCTGCTTCACATTCCCCGCCTTGCCTGACCCATCATTGACGGGCAGGCCCTTAAGCCTCTCTGCAGCCACCCTCTGGAACTCCATCCCACAGTCCCTCCGCCTCGCCCCCTGCCTTGCCTCCTTCAAGACCCGACTCAAGACCTACCTCTTTGATCATGCTTTTGGTCCCTCCCTACCCTCCACCCCTCCTGATCCCAACCGCCAGTTTGGGGTGCGGATCCCTAACTGCCCAGCACAATGGGACGTCCTCCTGATGTGAAAGGTGCTACACAAATGTAATTTATTGTTGTTGTAATTTTATGGCTGACTGTCTACTATTCACATATTTTACGTTACATATTATATTTTAGATTTGAATGTCTATCTAATAAGATAATATGTATTAGTGCCTTAATTTAAATATCTAGCAATATTTTCAGTTAAATCATTAAATACTATTAAAATACACAGAAGGGTGGCTTTATAGTGGAGTGTAATTCTACATAGTATAAGTTTCACTTTCTACTCAATTACAAAGAACTTACAAAGTTCAAGCCCTGGAATCATCCTCGTAAGCCTACTTCGTCTATCACTGCTATATTCATCCTGTAGTGTTGAGACCAGAATTGGACACAGGTCTAATCAAGGTTTTGTTAAAATTCAACATTACCTTTTCACTTTATATTCTATCCCTCTGGATATAAAGCCATTGGCCTTTTTAGAGACTTGTGGATCTGAATCCCTAGATCTCTTTGCTTCTCTACTCTTAAACCAAAGTGGGGGTTGGGATCAGGAAGGGTGGAGAGCGGAGAGGGTAGACGAAGACACGGTCAAAGAAGAGGGTATTGAGGCGTGCCCTGAAGGAGGCAAAAGGAATGTGGGATGGAGTTCCAGAGGGTGGGGGCAGAGAGGTTGAAGGCCAACCGCCGATGGTGGGGGGGGCTGGGTGGGGGACATGGAGCAGGCTGGAGCGTGCTGAGCGGAGGGAGTGGATAGGTTGATAAGGGGTTAGCAGGTCGGAGAGGTAGGAGGGGGCAAGGCCGTGGATGATCTGCAGCTTGTGGAGGGAAGAGCTGGGAAGACCGCAAGCAGGGAGTTGGCATAGTCTAGCCTAGATGTAATGAATGCATGCATGAGGGTTTCCACGGCCAGAAGGGTGAGGCAGTGGCGGAGTCGGGCAATGTTGCGGAGGAAGGGAAAGGCAGAGCGGGTCATGGCATGGATCTGGTGAGAAAGGACAGTTGAGGGTCGAACAAGACACCAAGGTTCCTGACTGGCTTGGTGACATGGAGTATGCATCCATGGATGCTGATGCTGTCAGTGCCTGAGGTATGGAAGTGCTAGCGCAAGCTAATCAGGAGAGTCTCGCTCTTGCTGACGTTCAATTGTAGAAAGTTGGCATCAAGTCATCCAGGACTTGATGTCTGACAGGCAGTCTGTCAGGATATTAGAAGTCCTGGAGTTGAGGGTGGAGGCAGAGAGATAAAGTTGGATGTTATCTGCATACATGCGGAAGTTGACCCTATGTCTGCGGATGATGTCACTAAGAGGGAGCATATATATATTGAAGAGGATGGGACCAAGGACAGAGCCCTGAGGAACACTGCACACGCCCAATAATAATCCCTCCAAAAAAACAAAACAATAATAAATTGGTCATTTTCAATCTATGACTGTTTGTGGGACATTGCTGTGTGCAATTGGCTGCCGCGTTCGCCCACAAATATGCAGTCAATTCACTTTACAGTATATTCTGTGAAGCACTTTGGGACGTCTAGAAGACGTGAAAAGCGCTATATCAAATGCAAGGATTATTACTATTAAAATGGTGTGAGGGCTGGTGAAGAAGCTGTTTGTGGAGACAAAGTAGAGCCGGTGAGAAAGGTAGGATCTGAATCATTCAAGGACAGAACCTTGAAAGTTAAGGTGAGAGGAGAGGTAGTGGTGGAGGATAGAGTGGTCCACAGTGTCGAAGGCAGCAGAGAGGTCGAGGAGAACGAGGAAGCAGAGGGAGCCCTGGTCACAGTTGGACAGCACAGAAACCCGATTGGAGGAGTTTGTAAAGGAATTGGCAGGAGAGGAAGGAGTGAAGCTGGGACGCAACAACTCTTTTAAGGACCTTGGAAAGGAAAGGGAGGTTGGAGATGGGGCGGTAGTTTATGAGCAGGGATGGGTCCAGGGAAGGTTTATTTAGGATGGGGTGATAACAGTTGTTTTTAGGGAGATGGGATTGATGCCAGTTAACAGTGAGAGGTTGAAGAAGCCTGAGAGTAAAGTGGTGAGGAGGTGGATGGGGCTGAGGGAGCAAATAATGAGCTTCAGGCAGGTTATAGTAGTGGTAAAAGGAGGGGTAGAGAGGTTTGAAGGTGTGGAGAGAGGAATAGGTAGAGGCTGAAGTATGAGGGAGGGATAGGGAGGGGGTGGCGGTTGGGAGGGCGGAGGTGGCTGAACGGATCCCCTCAATTTTGATCTCGAAGTCCAGCATCTCCTCACAGTTGGAGTTGGAGGAGAGGATGGGCGAGGCGTGAGAGGGTGGATAGAGGAGCTGGCTGGTAGTGGAGAAGAGGGTTGTCCTTGGGCTCCAAGATTATCTTGGAATAGAAGGATGATTTAGTGGAGGCGAAAGAGGAGAGGTAAGTTTTGATGTGGTCCAGCCAGATCTGTCATTGGACCGTTAATCAGATTTGAGCCAGGTGCATTCGGTGGCATGCACCTGCCCCTTGAGTGAGCGGAGGTGGCTAGTGTACCAGGGTGAGTTCGAGTAGGAGGTGTTTCAGGAGGTCAGAGGGGGGGCAAGGGCATCGAGAATGGTGGCAATGGAGTTGTGGAGGAGAGTGACAGAGGAGGATAAGTCGGTGCGGGAGGTAGGCCAGAAGGGAGGAGTTCAGATGACTCCAGGGCGGCGGAGAGGGAGTGCTGGGAGATTCTTTTCCAGGGCAGAGGGATTGAGAAGTTAAGGAAGATGAAATGGGGATCTGAGTTGGCTTTATCAGTGATTGTGAGGTCTGAGACACTGAGGTAATCACCAGGTCAAGTGTGTGGTCAAAAACGTGGAGGGATAGGTTGTGAGAGGAGAGGAGCAAGAAGGGGTGAAGTGCAGGTTGAAGTCACCTAGGATGAGGAGGCGTTCAGAACAGGCAAAGGGAAGCTAGGAGGGCGGAGATGTCAGAGAGGAAGGCGGGGGAGGGTTGGGGGGGAGAGGTGATAAATCAGGAGAATTTTGAAGTAAAGATTGGAGGGATGGAGAGGGTAAGGTGCTCGAAGATAACGTGAAGACCTGATGTTATTTGCAATTATAACATGCATTTTGAAAATTGCTTTGATCCCAGTGTAACTAGGTCTGAGAGACAAATGTAACTTTAAATCATTATATTTTTACTTTCAAATTACAGGATTTAATGACTGTCTTCTAGGAGGAGTAAGAGTTGAGTAGCTTTTTTTTAAGATTTGGTGAGAGCAGATTAGATACAAAAGTATCGCAACTGTCAATGCATGGTATGTTGTTGTACAGTACAATTAAAATTGTATGGATGAGCTTTCCTGATGACTCAGAGAAATATTTCTGTGAGACAGAGCTATACAGTCTTGAAAAGGTCCCAGCTTTGATCTTTCATTTGTGCTGGATATAGCTGCATTATCCTATCTATTACATCTGCAGATTCAGAGGAGTAAAATATTCTTCGGTTCATTCATACCAAATGGAACTCAACGTAATGGCTGCATATTGTCCCAAATGCTCCAAATAAAGCTGCCTCCTTTGATACTGGTCACCTATTTGGACTTATTTGCAGTTGCCACAGTTTTGCATCTAATTAAGCTGCTGTATATTCTCTGAAAAGTCCATTATAATGTCTCATGTCCTTTATGAAACTCTTCGCATGATATCTTTAAATATATATTTATAATAATATGTCGCATTTTTGTATAGACTTATCTTTTTAAAAAAATGTAAGTTTTGCCAATATTTTCCACTGTTTGCATTTGAACCGCAAAGTGACCCTGATCTGGTTTCAAGCCAAGGCCAACATTGATTATGTTGTGGGGAATTTTGACTTGGCTGTTGGTGCACCGGTTTAATTTCTTCAGGTCTTGCTGTTGTCTCAGTAGCCATTACAGCCAATTTCATCAGGAGTTCCAGTTGCCTTTAACTGCTTCTTGTGCAATAAGATTTTGTAAAAAGTACAGTAGAATTCTGTTATAAAATATCAACCATCCTTGTAACTGGGTGTGAAGGCTGGTCAACTCTTCCGGATGTGGGTTCAAGATCCACAGAGCATTTTCCTTGAAGCAAACTAGCGTCATTAGCGGTACCTTATAACTGGGTTCTACTGTAGTTGAGTTTTGATTGTAGCATTAAGTAGTATATTTATGAACTGAAATGCATTATGGTTTCCAATCTGATAGTTTGGATCTGTATTCTTATTGTAAATAGTTGTGCATTTGGCTCAGTTAGTAGCATTCTCTCCTCTGAGTCAGAAGGGTGTAGATTAAAGTCTCACGTCATGAGTTAAGCTCCAGTATAGTACTGGAAAACTGCAGCGTAGTTGGAAGTGCTGTCTTTTAGCTGGGTGAATAAACCGAGGGACTGCCAGCTTGTTTTCAAGTGTATGTTAAAATCCCATAATAAAACTTGAAAAATAAAAGGATATTTCTCCTGGTACCTTGGCCTACCTACCATCCTGTTTGTGGGAGTTTGCTCATAAAAATGGACACTGAATTTAAACAATCATTATACTTGATAGAGAATTAGCCACTGTAAAAATACAAGTTATTTCTGCTTTCTAAACCTTGTCAAATGTTCAAATGGTCAGATCTAATAATACATTGTGCCTCTATTGAACAGAACACCAATGTGTCTTTAACTATGAAATAATCAGTACTGGGCTTGTTCTAAAGAGATTCCTTCCTTCGGATGAGTTATTAAATCAAGGTCTTGTCTGCCTATTCAGATTGAAATTAAAGATCCCCTGGCATTGGTCAAAGAGAAGGGAGTTTCTCCTGGTGTCTTGGCCAACAATCCCCCAGATAATATCGTCATTTATTTCATGGCTGTTTATTGGGCATTGCTGTACTCATTGGCTCCCATATTTGCTTACAAAATACAGTAACTAAACTTTACAGTAAATTTTGTGAAGTGCTTTGAGACGTCCTCCCATTATGAAAGTTGCTATATCAAATGCAAGGATAAATTTCCGCAGCCAAATCTTCAGCCTATCTGGAACTCATTTGCTAAACCCCTCTGCCTCTGACCCCAATCAGTCTTTAAAAGTCTCCTGAAAACCTATCATTGTGCCTGTGGTTACCTCCCACCTCCTCACTCCCCCAATCCTCCTTGTTCAGTGTTTATAATGTCTGTAAAATGCTTTTTTGTTGTTACCCTGCATGAAAGGCACAATGTAGATGCACATTACTTTCTCATTTATGGTGTATAAAGATAATCAGATTCAGATGATATATAAAGTGTTTAGTTCAAAAATGTTTTTTTAATGGAAAAAACATGGTAACGTTTCTTGGCAGGTAGTTCTGGCCAGCTGGTACCGGAGCTTTATTTCCATAACAGATGCTTTTGGTATTTCAATCAAAATGTGCTGGAGTGTAAATAGAGGGCACGGCCTGAATCCTGTGGAAAGTTGTGAAGGTAAGTTCTTAAGATTCTACCGGTGATGTGTGAATATTTGACTCATCTTTAATATCTAATTTGTACAGAGCTGGTAAACTGATGTTTTCCTTTTTTTGTTTTACAGGAATGGGAGATCCAGCTTACTTTTATGTAACATTTGTTTTTATTTTAAATGGACTCATGATGTCATTGTTTTTCCTCTATGGGACATATTTGAGGTAAGAAAATATTATACCACCATAAACAAAGGGTTTATATCATAAATTGCAATTTTTATATTTTGTGTTCACCTGTTACAAGTTATTCGTAAAACCATTTACTTTACATGAATCACCAACCTTTGGGATGACACTGACCTAATGAACCACAGAGTGTATTCTGTTGTCAAAGCATGATTCTACATATGCTTCTTTTGCAGATTTCTTATAATCTGTCCTTAATAAAGCTCTTATACTGGGAGTACTTTTGTAGGTTGCTTTGTGTCATTTTAAAGTGGTTTACCTTTGCTGCCATGAAGTACCCTGCTTGGCTCCTGCCAACACTTTCTTTTCTTTCCTCCTTGGGCTCAGACAATCTAGCTGAGCTAGTAGGCAACTTAGGCGCTTTGTTTGACCCTGAGCTCTCTTCTAAACTCAGTCTATGACCAAGACAACTTTTCAGGAGGGCCTTGGTCTTGTCGACATTCAACTGGAGAACATTGACTCTCATCCAGGACTGGACGTCTGACAGATACTCCGTCAGGACATCAGAAGCAAAGAGAGAAAGAGAGAGTTAGGTGTCATTCGCATACGTGTGGAAGTTGACCCCAAGCCTGGTGAATGATATCCCCGAGCGGGAGCATGTAAATATTAAAATGGAGAGGACCGTGGACAGAACCCTGGGGTACACCACAAGGGCAGGAGAAGAAGCTGTTGGTAGTTACAAAGTCGTGGCAGGTTGGATAGTCCTACCTGGAAGTTTGACGGTGTCCGCAACAGTAAGCTGTGTGGTTTTAACTGGTTAATTTCCAGCAATAGCGCAGTCAGGACACACTATGGGGTCATCAAGCATTAGGCTAAACTGCTGAGGTAACCAGGATGCAACCCTCCAGGAGGGAGAAAGTGCATTCCATACAAGACAAAGGGAAATTTCCATACATACGTGCAGCTTTTCAGTAATTTGGTTTGGATACTTTTAAGCATAGTGTATGTGTCCAAGACCCTGCTGAGAAACCTGTGGGTTTTAGTACTGCTTTGAAGGTCTTAGCTGCTGATTATAAACATAATTTTGAATTAATCTTTGCACATATGTTCCAACCACTTGCCACCTTACCTAACAACCATTGTTTAAGCCACAGATTGGTTTGAATTGTGTTTACTTTGTTCATTGCCTCTTTTAGCCTGTTCATTTCTTTTCTGCATGCCTTCCTCTCATCATCAAAAGTTGTCAGAGATTGCGCAATTCTCATTGCTGGAGAGGAAAACACAGCTGAAGTTTCATTACTATCCCGCTGAGAGTGAAGTCCTTGTAAATAAAGCTGGACCCGGATCTTGACCTGCTGTACTGCTAATCTTCTTTGCAGATTTGTGGTATTCCTGGAACCCATCACTAGCACACTATTTCAACCTTAAATGTATCCTGCGCCAGCCAAGATTGTAAAATGGAAATCGCCCTCTAATAAAAAATATCTTTACATTCACACACACACACACAATCATCACTGTAGTGGAGGCAAACAGTTGCATAAAATTAGCATAATATTAGTAATTTTAAGCATGATAAAACACACATAGTTTTAATATTCTGTTTGTCTCTTCAAAATTTAAACTCAGAACAATATGGCATGTTAATATTTGGATTAAAGTTTTACTGGAAAGAAAGCAATTAATCATGATGGACTTTGTTTTTATGTAAACTCAATTTGGGTTTATTTGTAAATACCCAAACTTTATTATTGTTTGTCATGTGTGGTGTTTCAGTTAAAAAGTGATTATTTTGCTTTGGGAAAATAATCCTAGGATTTTAGATTTCTGCTTAATATAAGCTTTAAAAATATTACATCCATCTCACTTGCCTTTAATCTTTAGTAAATATGTCTTGTCAGGTCAGGAGGATGTCTCCATAGGATTTACTGTAAAGTCTAGTTATTGGATATTTTATAGGTTACTATGGCAGCCAATTTGTACACAGCAATATCCCAGAGACAGCAATTAAGTGACTGACCGATTTTATCCAGGGGGTTATTGACCAGCACACTGGGAAAAATTCCCTTTTCTTTTCAAACACTAGTGCCATGCGATCTTTAACATCCACCAGAACAGGCAGACAGTAGCTTAGTTTAAAGTATTGTCTGAAGGACGTCAATTCTGACCAATGCAACAACAACAAATCCATTTATATTGCATTTTGGCAATGCACATCTATCACTGCATTTAGTGTCAGTCTAGACTGAGTTCAGTGTCCTGATACGGGACTAGAACTACATCCTTTAGAAAGCTATCAACTGAGCCTGATTAATGTAAAGGGTAGGATGCGTGTTATGAAACGTTTCTGTTTGGGTCTAGGCTTGAGACTGACTCGCTCATGAGACTATGACACTTTAGGAAGGATATTGAGGTCTTGGAGAGGATGTAGAGGAGATTTAGCAGAATGGTACCAGGGATGAGGGACTTCAGTTATGTGGAAAGACAAGAGAAGCTGGGATTGTTCTCCTTAGAGCAGAGAAGGAGAGGTGTTCACATTTATGAGGGGTTTTGATAAGAGTAGATAGGGAGAAACGGTTTCTACTGGCAGGTGGGTCAGTAACCAGGCGACATAGATTTAAGATAATTGGCAAAAGAACCAGAGTGGAGATGAGGAGAATTTTAGAGAATTGTTGCGGTCTAGAATGCACTGCTGGAAAGGATGGTTGAAGCAGATTCAACAACAACTATCAAAAGGGAATTGGATAGGTACTTGAAAAGGAAAAAGTTGCAAGGATATGGGGAAAGAGCGGAGAAGTGGGACTGATTGGGTAGCTCTTCCAAAGAGCTGGCCCAAGCATGATTGGCCGAATGGCGTCCTTCGGTCCGGTAATATTCTATGATTCTACGATTCTATGACTGTCAGCGTTTTCAGCAGAAGATTGTGACTGAAAAATTCATACTATAGAAACTAATTGTCATTGGAGTCCTTCTTGCTTCCTTTATTGTGCTTATTTAAGGGAGGGTTAAACTGATGCACAATGTGATGTTGTAGTAAAAGTGTAAGGAATAACCCAGTAAATTCTGAGAAGGAGATTTGGAGATAGAGTGTAGTGTTCTACTAAAGCAGCTCGTTAAAAGATGACTGATCATTAAATCATTGTTTAGAATAAAGCAACATAATTCACATTTAGCACAGATTCCTCTGAACAGTAAAATCAAGTGGGAATACTACAAATCAAATGTTACTGCAAAGATGATGGACTGATGTCCAAATAGAAAACGGACAGGAGAGACTGAACATGTAGAGGCATATCAAGTATTTTATGAAAAATGTCTATGGGGGATTACAGTTCATGTAAAGGTAAAAGGGCAATATCTGGATAAATGAGATGTGTGAAGAGCGAATGAGACATGAAGGATATGTGTGTGAATTTTAACTGCTCTTAGAAACTTGAAATGTATCAGGTAGCCTTTAAAAAGAAAATGATGAAGTACACTTAACAATAAAAATTACTATCTTGCTTCCATTGGCCTATGCAGTTTGCCCCCTCCCCAGCTATTGGCATTCTAAAACAGTTCTGCTACATAAATGCAACTGTTGAGCGGCTGACATCTTCAACAGTTCTCAGAACTATTGCTTGCCGGTTGTGGGAACATAATGATACTGGTAATCTGTCTAAAGCTGGGTGGTATTGGTTAAATAGAAAATATGTAGTTTGAAACTTAGGTTTACTGTGGTGATGAAAGGATACGATTAACTTGATGGTTTTACCAAGTGGATAATGGAAGAATGCAGATTTCTTTTGTTCTATTTGTTGACTGTTGAATATGTCATCCACTCAGCAGTAGTGCTAGGACTTTCTCAGCACTTCAGTGTTAGACAGATTCTTGGTGTTAAAGTTCCAGATGCAAAGCCCGTTGGCACCAATTAACTCTTGTATTGAATGAAGTTGCTCAGAGCCAGGAGGGTTGCTTTTAAGAATCATAATCCAGTTTTGATTAGTATTTTCTAAAAGTGCTTCACAGTGAAACAGTATTTGTTTTGTGTTATCTGTCTCTATACTGATCACTTTTAAACAACTTTCAGGACCTCACCTAAATTTATGAGTCTCTTGGCAGTGATCACGAGAGGTGTAACCGAGGCCGAGCCTATCCTCTCCTGACATCTATGTGAATGCATCTCCCACAGGATAGAGATCAAGCACCCCTACTGATTGTTTTTCCCTTCCCTATCCAGACCAGTTGAGATCAACTGTACTATCCTGGGTGAGGACAGCTAACAGGTTATTAAATTAGGAACTATGTGAAGTCTGAAATTCTTGAAACTCAAAAAAGCTGATTATTACAGAATAAATTTGCAAACATCTTGAAGGAAAAGTATCTGTTTGAAACTGTTCTAAATCTAATTTGCAAAAAAAAATCTTGTTGTCATTCTCCCCTCATTTACATGAGGGCGTGATCTGATGTAACAACTAATGCGGGTTAAGGTTTAAATGGCTGCATACAATATCAGCAGAAATTAAAATTGGATTTAGATACACAAAATTAGAAACCAAATGTCATTCAGCCCATTGAGCTCACTTCCAATAAAGATCATTTCATGATCTATATACTACAGCTTCCCCCAAATCCTACTTACCCACCATATCTCTTAATATTTTTATTCCCCAAGCATCCATATCCCTCTTAAACCCCTTAACATTTGCATAAAAGAAAGATGATGTAATTGTTTTTGTGTGTGCTCTAATTGTTTTTTCTTTCTTTAACAGTGGAAGCAGACTTGGTGGCGTGGTCACTGCATCTTGCTTTTTCTTCAACCATGGTGAGGTAAGTTTTCAAAAAATCATTTTTTTAAAAAAAATTATGCATTCCAACATTTAACTCATATTTTAATAAGATGGATACACTGTCTGGCAAAACTTGGTTCTCTTTACCCAAATATGCATTTTCTGAAGCAATAAAAGCTGCTGCTAAATTTGCTTCATGTCCTTTGATGAAGCAGTGTTTTTTTAATTACTTCCTCAATTACTGTATATGCTTTCTTTGTGTCTGTAGGAGCTGTAACAAGTATATCATTTCTTACCTTCAACGGCTCCCCTCTTAATCCCTGATATTCTGGACTTTGTAAATTCCTGTGATCTATTAACCATGCTTCAAAGTGTCTTCTCTGCATAGATATCATTTCAAATATTTAAGAAATAATTCTCCACTTGATACATTTAATGACATTGTTGATTTATCTATATTAATCATCAATTCTTAATAATTTTACAGACATAAATGGTATGGAATTTAACATTTCCTGAAAAATGGAGAATAATGTATTTTCTTAAATGAGTTTGATAAATTTAAGTGGAAACTAATTATTGGTGGTTAGTTTTAGTATAATGCCCAACATTTAAGAATATTAATTCTAATATGTAGCACAAAAATAATACATGTTTTTGAAGGCTGAGTCCTCACAATATCATTTACATCTACTTTTTCTTATGTCATTTCATAATTACTCATTTGTTAAAAGTTTTCTTTATTAATACTTTTCATGAGGATTTTTGTGAGTTCAGTAAAACTCACCTAAGTCTTATCTTTATAAATCATATAAACACCTAAGTCACCCGAGTCCCATTCAGTTTTCTATCATAACCAATTAGATTTCTTTACACTACTCATATTATTCACCTACTAACTCATAATGCTGCTTCCCTACCCTCTATTACTCCCGGGCTATCCGGAGGCCTTGAATTACGGGAAATTATGTCCTTAGCCATCGACCCATGCCCATTTACCTACCGGCTACTTTGATCGCGGGAGATGTAGTCTTCATCCATCGCCGCATGCACAGAAGAACTTAATTTCCCATGATTCAATGTGATTCCAAAGTTTGCCGGTAAGTGCATATGAGGTAAATTAAGCATGTGCAGTGTAGATTATTGATTAAATCAGATTTTCTTCAACATCTAGTTTGTCTGCAACTTTGACTTTGCGTAAGTCGTATTAAATATTATTGACCTGACTGATACTACATATGTGGGAGTTTTACTTTATTGAGTTGATTTTTTTTCATGACTGAGAAACTTTATACAGAAAAGCTCTGCTTTTATTTTAGTGCACAAGGGTCATGTGGACCCCTCCTCTTCGTGAAAGCTTCTCCTATCCATTCCTAATTCTGCAGATGCTGCTTTTAACCCACATACTGAGGTACTGTGGCATATTTTACTGTTTGCTATTTTACATTGCTTATTTCAGATTTGGTGTCTTCTTTGATACATATTTTCCTATATATTTTTGAATAGGACTCCCTTTGTGGATAAAAGGACTATGGTTGCTTTCGGTGTTGCAAATATCCTCTTTATGCTTCCATGGCAGTTTGCACAATTCGTGCTCCTCACACAGGTAAAGAAAGGTGAAAGTACATAAATACTAGGAAGAGCAGAGATTTACTTCTAAATACTTTCTAAATACTAAGGTATCCAACTTTAGGATATATAAAAAAAGTAGAGAATTATCAAATTTGACAATTGTTAGAAGCCAGAGCTTTGATCGATCTGTATCTATCAGAGAAAATTAGAACAAAATTACATGCTGATATTTGGAGGTTTCGAATTTGAATGAGCTAACTATATCATTGTGGTTAATGACGTAAAACTTCAATATATTACAAATGTATTTCTGCTTTTAAAAGATGGAATAATACAAATCTACTATTCAAACCGCTTACATTTCTTTTTATTATTGTTTAAAAAGATACTTCTAAAGTCCTGTATTTTTGATTCTTTATGCAAAACAATGCTTATATGATCTGGCCTGAAACCTGTGGACAGACACCCACTGATGTATTCCCATTTGACTTGGATACAGTGATTTTCAAGGCTATTTTTGTCTATCACTAAATTTAGTGTGAATTTATACTGCCAAGACCACCAACACGTAAAACATTCCAGAAATGATTTTAATACATTTAAAACATGGCCACGATATTTATATATTTTTTCCACATGATTTTTTTAAAAACAAAGCTAGAGCAATACTTCTGTATTTTTTGGCTGGCAGCGGTTGACTATGAGAAGCCAGCTTCATCGTGGTGTGGTGGTAAAATTCTTGTCTTCCCCTCCCCCTGGCTGGGCCCTGGGATCCGTTATTGTGAAGCGCTCTGATACACCATCCAGCGTGGAGGGCACTATATAAATCCAAGTTGTTGTCTGAGCTGCAAAGGAATACTAGCAGTAAATTAAAATGAATATTTTTGGGTGGCACTATATTCTATCAAATAGCATAGGTCAGTCAGTAGGTCACAAAATTGTGTTTAACAGTGTATTTATGAGTGAACAGATTGACTCACACAGATTTTGGCTTCAAATTACAATGACCTCTTCAAAAATAATTTATGTTGCTAACTCTTATCACAATTTATTTTTCAAGGGGAAATTATATGTGATATTTATTTGTAGTCTTCAGGTTGTGCCTGAAGACCTTCCTATTTGACCGTGCCTACGGTCATCTACTCTTTCCCCCCGGCTCGGCGTCGTGCTCCACCACTGTCCAGCGCTGTGGGACACTACCCTGCGTGAGGGGCGCTATAAAAATGCAAGTTATTGTTGTAGTAAAAGTTTTTTTTCTGATATGCTTTTGTTTTTAGATTGCGTCACTGTTTGCAACATACATTTTAGGTTTTATTGATTCCTCCAAGCTTCTGGAAATCCTTTATGCTCACATGGTAAATATTACCCCTTATTCACTTCAATGAGAGCTACATAAATTCAAATAAAATTGGTATGTTAATGTAAACTGTAAATTATGCGTAAATAATTATTGCACTGCTCATAACTTATAAATGCATTCAATTGTTTCAGCTGAACAGAGATTTGTGATTATAATTGTTTTATTTCAGAATTTATTCCCTATTTCTGTATGGAAAATTATTTAATCTTTTACCTGCAGCTGATTTCTTTGAGTTGTTCATGAATTAAAACAATAACAAGATATTAAAACTAAAATGCAAATGTAAAATTAAATGATCTGGGATTTAAAGATACATTATTATATTCATTCCTTATACTTCATGTATAATAGGTAATGAAGTTCATCATTGCCATGTATTCTGACAGCCAAATGTTCATCCTTTGAAAGCTGTCTTATATGTCTTGGATCAGAATCACAAATTTGATTTCAAATTGTCAGCTTATTTTGCAATACTGATGAGGATGTTCTGTGTCTTTGTTGTTTTTCGTAAGTCAACCAATGTCATAGAAGAATAAAACTAACCCCGCAATATTTTAATTCAATTTACTGGATAAAGATAGTCAACAATGAATGACCTTACAAAAAGAAACCTATCGAATGTGCAAAGATCAGGCAAAAATCGCCACCTTCTGTCCCGATTTTGTTGATGCCCTCTTTGCTGGTCTCCACAGTTCTGGCATTCATTATATGCAGTTAATTAAGAACTCTGCCACCCATATTCTCAGCACTATCTAACTCCACATCCCCATCACCTACATGATTCTTGTCCCCTCCGCTCCACTGTCAGCGGCTGTGGTTTCAGCCATTACGCCCTGAAACTCTGGAACTCTCTGCCTCCCATCTGAAGACCTTCCTCTTTGTCCGTGCCTAGTCACCTCCCCTGTGTCCCTGGCTCGGTGTCGAGCTCTGCCAATAGTAAGCGCTCCACGACACTACCCAGCAGCATCGTAAGTTGTTGTTGTTCAATCTTTAGCCTTCATCTTATTCCAAAAACAAAAACATCAAACATGAAAGTAAAAGGAAACATGAGGGCTCTGCACTGGCTTTGAGTTCTTAATCCTCTTCATTAATAAGATTTTAGGACTATATCTTATTTGGAGATACTTCCTTCTCTTTTCAAATAGTGTCATTGGATCTTTAACATCTCCCTAAACAGGCAGACAGGACCTCAGTTTAATGTCTCATACAAAGATTACTACTTCCAGTGTTAGTATAGACTGAGTTGAAAGTCCTGACATTATCATAAAAACAGAACACACTTGTCAGTAATTTTTATACCTTTATGAGTTGCATTGGCTCAAAGTGTACAGGCCTACTGTCTGCTTTGTATTAGTTGATTTTTTGGGGGGAGGGAGACCAACTGATCACTAATTAATAAATGTGCAAAACTGCCATTTTAATTGGAATTTTTCTGTTTTAAATAAACAAACATTTCTAACTGTTACAAATTAAGTAAAATGTTAATTTAAATGTGTCAAATTAATGTTTCAAGGATACTGTGAACACTGAATACATTTGTGTAACTGATGAGCATTTGCTTTGCCTAACTGCTTTAGATGACTGAAAATTATAATTTATAGTGTCTAATATATTAGAGTAATAAATCACATGCATTCAGTGGTTTTAGTTATTTATAACTGAGTTAATTCAGGTGAAATGTCATTGCACATTGTGTTGCATTCAAAATGTAACCGTTATATAGTATTGATAAGATTTTCTGTGAGTTAAAATGTATATTCGGTGTAAACAAAATCTATATTCAGTGTAATTATCTCAGTAACATTCAATGCCATAGATACCTGGGAATTGACAATCTCATTTTTACATGTTGCTGGCAATTTGAACCATTTTGTTGCACCTAATTGTTTTACAATTTGTACAGATATCCCTCCTGTTGTGTTTTGCTTTGATGTTTGGGAATGCGATGCTGCTAAGCTCCTACTATGCTTCTTCTCTGGTGATTGTTTGGGTAAGTGACTTGATTCCCATATTACACTCTGATAGTAAGATGTAATACTCTTACTATTTATTTGTGTTTCGCCCACAAAATTCACAGTCACTACACTTTACAATGAATCCTGTGAAGCATTTTGAGACGTCTTGACAACGTGATAAGGCGCTATATCAAATGCAAGGATTATTATTATGAGTTCTGTCTTTTTGAGCCTATTTATCACGTTACGTTAAGCAGTCACAGCAATAGTAAACAAATATTTGCTCTTTCGCCTTTTCCTTGTCTACCTGAATTGGTGGGGTTTGCAAGAAACATCTATTGAATGGGCCCATCTATGGATGCACACCTCAACTCACTAAGCCATTCCAGAACCTTGCCATCTTGTTTGACCCTCAACTATGCTTTCTACCCCACATCCGTGCCATGACCAGCTCTGCCTTCCCCCACCTCTGCAACATCACCCAACTCCGCTACTGTCTCACACCACAAGCTGCCAAAACCCTCATACAAGCATTCAAAACATCGAGGCTTGACTATGCAAGCTCCTTGCTTGTTGGCCTCCCAATTCCTTCCTCCATAGGCTGCAGATCATCCAGAACTCTGCAGCCCATGACCTCTCCCGCACCAGGCTCTGCGACCCTATCTCCCCCATCCTCGCCCGACTCCACTGGCTTCCCATCACTCAGAGGATACAGTTCAAAATTCTGATCCTCACCTTCAAAGCCCTCCATGGCCTTGCTCCCCACTACCTGTGCGAACTCCTAACCCCCTACCATCCTGCCTGCTTCCTCCGCTCAGTGGGCTCTGGCCTGCTTCACTTCCCCTACTTTGCCTGCCGCACCATTGGCCTTCTGCCACTTTGCTCTCACCCTGTGGAACTCCATTCCACAGTCCCTCACCTTACCCCTTCCTTGCCTCCTTCAAGACTCATCTAAAGACCCTTCTCTTCGACCATGCTTTCAATCACCCTGCTTCCCCCCCCTGCCCTCCACCCTTCCCAATCCCAACCTCCAGCTTGGGTCCGAAACACTGACTGTCCAGCGGCTTGGGACGTCCTCCCTACATGAAAGGCACTATACAAATGTAATTTTGTTGTTGATGGTGGTGATGGTGCTCTGGTCAAGTGGCTTCTTCCATTATAAGTTTAATAGAATGTGAAAAATATAAAGTAGCCACATGCTTTCCTTATAGCCAGTGGCAACAAGATGTGCTGCCCATTTCCTGGTGGTCAATTAGGAGTAAAACTCATTAACCTTTTTGCCCATAAAATGTACAGTCAATTCACTTTACAGTATATTCTGTGAAGTGATTTGAGATGTCTCAAAGATGTGATAAGGCTTTATATTAAATGCAAAGATTATTATTATAACCTAAAAACCATAATTAATGTGTTGTCTGAGCGCACGATGCCATTTGCTGTGACTAAACCCCCATTCTCCCAATTTTATAATGCATCGCATAAAAATTACAAATTGTCCCAAATATAAAGAAATGCGAACTGAGTATATTGCCTTAAATATATAGATTACTGAAATGTTAGTGTAATAGCATTATGCATACAGTGTCACCTCAAAAGTTGTTTTTAAACAAAATGGTAAGGCCAAGGATACTGGAATTTCCCAGAAGCTGACAGTAATTTAAGGGATAAAATTCTGCCCATGTAGCTGAAAAATGTATTGTTTAAGCTGTCTCATCTTAATATTATGTATTTTGTAGAAAGTTTGTCAAGTTAAAATTAGTTTTAGTTATGTAACTCAATACATAGAACAAAATCCATGGCTAACTTAAAATAATAGTGTGCCTGTGCAATAGCTACGAGATATGGTGCACCGTTTGTTTGGATGTGAAGTTTATCATTTTGATGCAATGTAGTGTTGCATCCTGCAAAATGTGAATGATTTAAGTTATTGAAAATAATTCCAAATGTAGTGGACAGCGTGATTGGAGAGGGGATTCCAAAAAGAGTAATCAGAATGCAATATGGCATTCAGCTGACCAAAAGTGAACCAAAATCCTATAGTACAATCTCTGAGAATCAAAGTGAAGACAAATCCAAAATCTAATGTGATCTAAAATGTTACTTATTTTAGAAAATATAACAACAACAAAATTACATTTGTATAGCGCCTTTCATGTCGGGAAGATGTTCCAAGGCACTGGACAGCCAGAGTTACGGACCCGAGCTGGGGGTTGGGGTGTGGAGGGTGGAGGGCAAGGGGGGGAATCAGGGAATTTGAAAGCACGGTTGAAGAGGAAGGTCTTGAGGTGGGTCTTGAAGGTGACGAGGGAGGGGGTGAAATGGAGGAATTGCGGGATGGAGTTCCAAAGGGTGGGTGCAGAATGGTGAAAAGCCCACCCGCTGATAGTGGGGCGAGCAAGGCGGAGGACGTGAAGCAGGCCGGAGCCCGCTGAGCGGAGAGAATGAACCGAGTAGTAGAGGGTTAGGAGGTCGGAGAGGTAGGGGGGAGCAAGACCGTGGAGGGCTTTGAAGGTGAGGATCAAGATCTTGAACTGTATCCCCTGTGTGATGGGAAGCCAGTAGAGTTGGGCGAGGATGGGGGTGATAGAGTTGCGGAACCTAGTACAGGAGAGGACAAGGGGTGCAGAGTTCTGGATGATCTGTAGCTTATGGAGGGAGGAGTCGGGGAGGCTGACAAGCAGTGAGCTTGCATAGTCGAGCCTTGATGTAAGTCAGTGTCGGACCCGGGCGACGTGGACGTGGGGGAAGGCAGAGCGGGTCATGGCGCAAATGTGGGGTAGAAAGGATAGTTGAGGGTCGAACATGACCCCAAGGTTCCGGACTGGCTTAGCAAGGTGGAGTGAGCAACCATGGAGGGTGAGGCTGTCAGTGCCTGAGGTGAGGAGGCACTGACGGGAGCCAATCGGGAGAGCCTCGACTTTGTTGACATTCAACTGAAGAAAGTTAGCTCTCATCCAGGACTTGATGTCTGACAGACATTCTGTCAGTACAGCAGTGGTCCTGAAGTCAAGGGTGGAGGCAGAGAGGTAGAGTTGGGTGTCATCTATAAAATGTTCTATGATATTCAAATGTTAATGATGATCATTTTCTTTTCGCGCAGGGAATGATTAGAATGAAAGATTGGTCTGCAAAATATTGGCCACAGAGGATACATGTAGCATGTGTAAGTTACTTTTTGTACAGATAAGCATGGTGCCATATTTTAAAATATATTAATCTGTTCTCGATTTTCACAATACAATTTCTGTTGCTTAAGGCTTAATTTTCCATGAAAAAGAAGGGAAATTCAGATGAGGAGTTAAACCGAGGTTCCGTCTATCTGTCTAGGTGGAAGTTAAAGGTCTCCAGGCATTATTGAAAAAGAGAAGGGAGTTTATCCCAGTGCCCTAGCTATCAATCTCCCATATTAAATGAGTCAATCACTCCACAGCTGTTTGGGGGAAATTTTTGTGCACAAATTGTCTGCCATGTTCACTTACAAAATAGTCACTATGCGTTACAGTATATCCTGTGAAATGCTTTGTGAAGTCCACTTGGCGTGAAAGGTGCTACATCAAACACCAGGATTATTAGTATCATTATTAATACATTTCTCCTGGCATCCTGGTGAGTAGTCCTCGAGAGACATGAATCATTTAACTTGTGACTATTTGTGAGCTGCTGATGTTCCCAAATTGGCTGCCACATTTACTTACAAGTAGCAAGAATATTGTAATAATGTGGAAAGTTTAGTCTAGGTTTCCTCAGATGTTAATCAGAATTTGTGAATAGCCCATTAAGAAAGATTGTATAAGTGAGGGCTTTTGGAGTCTTGTTTGAGAGTATGAGCACTGACTATTTGGGTCGAATGACCTGTGCTGTAATAATTCTTGGAATTCAGTGTAAATGTGCAGCCACTTCATTTAACAACAATTAATTGTGAAGAGTTTTGAGATTTCATGATATTATCGTAATGTATCAAATGCAATAATTTATTATTAAAATGCTGATTGATTAAGGATCAGAAAATGTTTCCATGCTGCTGGCTTCAAATACATTTTTGAGAGTCTTTTAGCAGTTGCTTTCATTTTTCGAATGAAATAATTGAGAAAATGCAATTAAGTTTACCAGGGAACTGAAAATCGTTTGAACTAACAGTTAGGCCTTAGTGTTTCTCAGGCCTCATAAATGGCAGAATTTGTAGCACCAATTCTTGTGTTCATTTCCAATGATATTCATCACTCGTTTATTTCATTTATCTTCCATTCTGCTATTGTAATATTAGTGTGGATTAGAATTGAACAAATAATGGTAGCTTCATGTGTTTGCTTAAATAACAGTATGAAATTAGAATAGATTTCTAAACATGGAATGTATTAAAGTATCATCTAACTAATATTTTGCAGGTAGCTAAAGGAACTGTCTGGTTAATTGGAACTGTAATCCTCAAATTTGTGGCTTCTAAAATATTGGGAATTGATGATGATGTAAGTATTTCATTTATCCATGAATTATATAAAAGATCTCCATGAAAGAATTCTGGAAGTATATTATGTTCTCAGTGTAAATTCAAACCATATGTTGTTCCTTGTTCTCTCTGCTACTGCTGCAACCTCCATATTTTGCTGTCTTGTGATTGTTTGTCAGCCATTAAACTTACTGAGGACAGGGTTTTGAACATCATGTATTTTCCCTACTCTCTTGTGTCAGTGCATCGAATACAAATCCCCAATTACTGAGGTGGAATATTTGATGTGAAAACTGCAAATCTTATGAGTTAGGTATAGCAAATGTTTTCCAAGTATTTATAATTATAATCATATTTATGTACAGTGGGAAAACACCAGCTTCAGAATGCATTTAGCACACTTGGAAACCAATGCAGAAAGGGTCTGGAGGTGATAACAATATAGTGTTGTGCTTTCCAGAAGTATGGTATATTGAGCAGCATTACTGTAACATAAATTAATAGATTGTGAATAAATAATTATTTTGAGATATGCAACAGAATCAATAATAGTCTGCAGCTGTGACTTTCCCACGATGGACCCATATTTATAATAACTGCAATACACTCTTTGCAAATTATCTTTCCAATATAATTGTATTTTCTGTATTGCATAGCCTCTTTGTGTGATTTCTCTGCTTGTATTTTTCTTTTCTTTCAGGCCCACATAAGTAACCTACTGAAATCTAAATTCACAAACTACAAAGATTTTGATACCCTGATGTACAGCTGTGCAGTGGAGTTTGATTTCATGGAAAAGGAGGTGATTTAAAACAACCAAGTTATTTTGTTGCTAAACACATTTGTTTTGAGCCTATTTTCATGGAGTAGGTTGCATCCCTACCTCTGCTATAAGAATGCGTAAGACCTGAAAAGGCACTTTGAGTGCGTCTGGTCAGTCCCACTTTCAAAGTACCTTCTCTTGATATCTCACATATCATCTTAACAATATCAAGTTCCTTCTTGAAACTCCATATTAGTGATCATGCCTAACATTCACCACCCTTTGTGTAGAAAAAATATTAATAGTATCCCCTATCAACAATACTTCCACATTTTCTTATATAAGATGCAGTTCATTACTAATCGATTATACTCTGAAAAACCTTGTAAGAACTCTTGCTATCATTGACCTCTGGTTCTCAGATCATAAAATAATTCAGATAGCTAATTTCCATTCTCTGGTTCTCTTTTACACTATATTCATTGCTGCAGTCTGACTTAGTTCTATTTATTTGTTGTTTCTTGTTCTTTTGTTGAGTTACAAATTCCATCCTGAATAGCATTAGATTACTATAACCTATCTTGGACGTTTAGTGCCTATTTATGTTCTCACTTGTGATACCATGTTGTGTTTTCAAAATCTCTCAAATAATACCTGCTTGAAGTCAGCAGATAGAATGGCAAGTCAGGTTCTTTTGGGGATTATTCTGTTACTAACAGGATTCAATTTCCTTTTCTCATAATTATCAAGTTGTTCCAAATGATTGTGAATACATTAATGAATACATGAAAACTACCATTTTAATTGTTTTTCAGACTCCTTTGCGATACACAAAAACTCTGCTACTTCCTGTGACCTTATGCATTTTTTGTGCTATAGTTTCAAAGGTGAGTCATTGAATTTTAGTTACAAATTTTGATTTTATTCAGACATTTAAGAAACTTACCCTTAAAACTGATCTTTTTCCCTGAGGTGTGCCACATATTTTCCCATTAATCACCCATTGGCAGTGAATTCCTGTTGCTGACTAGGAAAGTATAGTTATATTACTTTTAAGAAAACATAATAACTACTGATGCCCCTCTGTTGATTTCAACTTCCCAGGCCAATTATCTATGTTGACCCCACTTTGTCCCAGCTACTCTTTACAACTATCCAATGCTTGTTTTTCTTCAGTTTAACATCTCAATCCGAAAGGACCGCACCTCCAAAATTAATCTATACTCGTACATTTTCCATAGGGTTTGAAATCAGATTGGAAAACCTGCCCTTTTTTTTTTGCTCTCTTTATCTAAAATTTTATTTACTATGTTTCAAATACTGCCCTATTGAGATCAGCTAAATTAGGACAGACCTGGAATTCAACTTGTGCACTTTAGACTTACCAGCTGAATCTAACAACAGATGCACTCTACTTGAAAGCTAGCAGCTTCCTCCTCCAGAAATTCAGGGAAGACAAGTTTTTCATCAAATAGAAGTTTTAGGTAATTGTTGTGTTTTCCCAAATTCATTATTTGGAGAAGCAGTTGCTATCCCTCAATCTGATGACATTTGCATATGTAAGTTGTTATATTGATATGCAGCTGACCTATACTGACCAAAATATCATCTTTCAATAGGCAGCCAATGACTTGGGATAAAGCATTTATTGTTTGTCATCCACCAGTCATTCTTCATGATTAATAATTATCCTTGCATTTTAAATAGCGCCTTATCACATCTTCGAGGCGTCTCAAAGCGCTTCACAGAATGTACTGTGAAGTGAATTGATTGTATAGTTTGTGGGAGAATAGCAAACACCTGCAAGGCTGGCTCACTAGGTTCATGGTTTTCCATTAAAATTAAAGTACATACATGTTCCAATTTTGTATATTTGAGTTTTTTACCTTATGAGGCCTTCTTAGTTTTAACTAAGTAAATAAATGCCTGATTTTGAGGGCTCCATTGAGTCCTACTGAAGGAAAGAGTCGAGAGAAATGAGGATATATTGTTTGAATTGTGGGAACACTGGAGGCCACATTCTCTAATGTCTAGACATCACTGCATAGATGGAGAGGCCTGCACTGTATTCTGTGAATGGCAAGGGAGTTAAGAATGTATTCACAGAGCTCTTTGTTGTTTTGTGTTTGTTGTTGGCTTGAAAATTAACTGGCATTTATCTGATTGAGACTAGGCTGCAATTAAATCTCTCACTTCTGCCATACATTCCTTTAGCAATGTCAAACAGCCTTTCCATTAGAATTGATTAGTATTGATCTTGAATCCAATACAACCAAGAGATAATGAACGTTTCTGCTCCTGATTCTGTATCCGGATGTTTGTTTTGGCAGCAACCATCTTGTTATGTGATGTCCCCGAGCATTGCAGACATTATACTGTCAGCCAAAACCATAAGTGATCCACACAATACTTCCAGATTTAGCATCAGCATTGAATATTTCTTGAAAAAGCAGCAAGTTTCTCCAGTCCACCTTTTTGTGCCATTGTGCACATGTTGCCACAATGCATCATGCAGTATCACAAGTGCTATAGTCTGAACCGGCACTTACTGCAGTAATGGCTCCATTCCCAACTTAGGTGGATAGCCAGTACTGTTAAACGCTTTGGGACATCCTCCCGATGTGAAATGGGCTTTACAAATATAAATTTGTCTTGTAATCGACCCATCACCTCCACTTCATCTAACGGTTCCTCTTCTCTCCACCCCCACCCGGGCCCTGTCCTCTGCTCCCTCATACTGTTGTTTGCAGACACGGGATCAATTTACACATGTATGCAGATGATACATAATCTACTTTTCTATTCTCTTGATACAATGAACACCGATGTTCTGTCTGCTTGCCTGTCAGACACCAAGGCCAGGGTGAGCCAAAATTTCCCATGAATAAACCTGAAGCCGCTCACTCTCCTTGGTTTTTAACCAACATTTCCTCTTTTCTGCCTCTGGCTTTCTCAAAATTTATTAACCTTTCTCTCAATCTTATTAAAGTAGTTCACAACCTTGGTTTCAAGTTCAATCCTCAGCACTCCATTCTTCCTCACAGCTGACCAAGACCAATTTCCTTCACATTCACCACATCACCCACCTTCACCTCTATCTCACATCACGATGCACACCTTTCTTACTTCCAATTTAGACGTTTCTAATTAGTCTCCCTACCTCATCCATCCATAACCATCCAAAATCTCATTGCCCTCATCCTATGCTGCATCAAGCTCCAGTACTCTCCAAGCTCGATTGATCCTTGTATTTGGTACAGAGCCCTTCACATTGGGAGGAAGTGTCAAAGTGCTTTACGAGATATACTGTAAAATGTAGTGACTGTAATGTTTGGGTGAACACAGCAGTGTTATTGTTATTCATTTAGGTAATAGATAAAGAAACAAAGCAGATTACACTTTTTATTCCAATAAGTACATTGGGCTTGTAACACAATAAAAGTAATTTTATTGTAGTTATGATCCCTAACTCGTCCTAAAATTTGTTTTGCTTGATTACCATAAGTAAGAAATTAAGATAATCATTTTTTTACCAGATTAAGTTTTCCCACCATCCCAAGTGTGCTGTTCTATTTTAAATAATGTGAAGCCCCCTATATTGCTTCAAAATGCTTTCTGGTACTAATTCATAAAATAAATATTATTATTTAAATGTTCTGAGCTCAAAGGGCATAAAAGTCAGTTTTGCCAAAGCCTTACCAGAGCTAATAAAGTATACTGTATATAGTTCCTGTTATTTCACAAATTTCTTCCTAGAATTTCATCTGTAAAGAAAGGCAAATAATTATTTCAGGGACTAAAGGCCTCTGTCATCAATGAAGAGTTGAAGAACTGGACATCTGGAGGAAGAATATGCTCATTTATGCTCCCAAATTTGATTGCAACATTTAAGTATTCCTAGAAATGTGTCAGATCTAACTTCTTAGGGGACTTGTTCTGCTTTCCAGATTATTATTAAGCACCCCTGATGTAAGAAGACAGAGTTGCTTTCATGGGTAGATTTTAAATGCAAAGATGATAACAACTAACAGAATCCCATAAAAGAATGCCCCTCTACCTGTTGGCTCCAATTCCTCTATCCCTCCTTTGAGTTGTAACTTATAACTTAATCTTGTCAGTAGCTACGTTTGACTGTTAGTTGAAGTGTGACCATACCATGATCAATGGATAGATAAAGACAGTTCAGGAAAGTTATATCCTTCATTTCAAATTGATTGTTCTACGTTTTAATAGGATAACTCAGCATTGTTGGTGTCCCCCCCAGCACACATTTGCCCCCAAAGGAGCAGGGCATCTGCTTTTCCAAGATAAAATAGAATCCATAAAGCCAGACAAATTCAGAGTTCCTGAAGGACTTTAGCTTTCAAACCATACTGAACAATGGATCCTGAATTTAGTCCAGATTATATTTTGGTCTCATTTCACTTCTATTCACAAGGTGTTACTTTAAGACATTTTAGTTCTGTAACAGATTTTAATTCTGTAGTCACTCAGAAAATTTATTTTTTGGATCTTTTGAAGTTTTTTGGATAGTGATTCTTAAGGTGCAGAATCTTTTATCCCAGATTGGGAGACCAATTTGGCACATTTCCCCTATACTGTTTTTGTAAAATAGTATGTTAATGTCACAATAACAAGTTTAACTTGTTTTTGGTAAGACATTTTAGCCAATGTGCTGTGTATCAAGATTCACAAGGAAGTTGTCTGTCAACAGTTTTCATCCAGAAATTTAGACATCCATTATATCTAGGTTCATGAAAGTTTTTCCGGAAATGGTTCATTCTTCCAGAAACCTTGAGCTGAGACCTACTTATAATAATAATAATAATGCTTGCATTTGATATAGTGCCTTATCACGTCTTCGAGACGTCTCAAAGTGCTTCACAGGATATTCTGTAAAGTGAATTGACNTTTTTTACAAACTTACATGATTGTTTGCCGTCTTAACCCTTAGATTCCTGGCATGTTTAGGGAAATGCGTTTCCTGAACTTGCCACCATTGGGTGGTCAGCCAGGTGTCTGACACATGAGGAAACCTATCACCATGCTTAAGAGTGTCAAAATCACGTATTCCACCCGTGCATGGAAATTCCAGAGAGAGCTTGTTGGGATTGAATGCATACTCTCTCCCTGGAGGGACACATTCTGCTTACTTAATTCCGGAAAGTACTAGGCACAGGTTGCCAACAGCTTTTACAATACATGCAAAATAAGATTCCCTGACAGATTCTACAGTACTCGAACAGAGGTACACAACCATGTTCTTTTTCTGTGACGATTGAGTTGGCCCAAGGGCTTTAGTATGTGATATAAGCAGAGTAAGAAAACTTAACTTTGTCTACTTACTTCTTTGGGTTTTCTTTAGACTACTCGAGGGGGTAGTGGATCGTGTCAGTAACATTGCTAATGTGGTCCTGATTTATGACAGACTGTTCTTCAGAAAGGGTGCCTATTCAAAATGTATCTTGAGACCGTTGTAGCCCAATTGATTTCCATAGTACAAAGATCCCACACAGACTTTTAAACTGCACAAGTTTAGTGGTGAGATGATTTTTCGTAACAGAAATATGCACTTTGGCCATCTGGGTAGAGGATCGAACAAAGTGAGTTGAATTGAGTTATGTGCTATCGTATATCCTTTTCTGACAAATATTCCCATTGTCTATTATATTTTGTGTAGTTTTATAGAAAAATATAGATCATTTCTCTATTTGAGATGTCTCGAAGATGTGATAAAATGTGATAATAATCCTTCAAGGATTATTATTATTATTTGCCCAAATACCGGAACCAAACATTTCTATATAATATTTTTTGAATGGCATAAATGAGACGTTGTTACTAAAGAAAATTGACCCATTGTGAAATTCTCATTGAGTTTATAATA